TTTTTTTTTCCATCGATCGCTTGCTCCGAGATAAACAAGGAAGTTTGAAAGGAAGGACTGTGGGTATTCCGTGAATCCTAAGTTCGATTAAATTTGTCATTCAATGTATTTTCTAGCTCGGAGCGAGAAAAACGAGAATCGTTTAGGATCGGCTCCTCTATGCGACTATATTTTTACAAAAATAAATACACGACGTTCAACGTCCTGCCGATACGTACCTCACTGGTGAGACACAACCTATGTACAGCCACGATCCACGCCGCATGACATCGATTCACGATCGTATCGTTATTTACATGCGTTAATCGTGGGAGAAGAGAAAGAATCGCGGGGAGTGATCTCTACCGCGATGTCGCGACGCTCTTTTCTTCCGGCGTCACGCTAGAATGCCAAAGGACAAGGCGATTAGGATCAGGAACACGTTCACCGTGAACCTCGACGCGGACGAGTCGAACCCGTTCTGCGCCAATATCTGACACTGCGAGCTTCGAAAATGCTTCACGTTGCCCTCCGAGTCCCTCGCGAGCACGCACAGCTCGTACTTTGTCCCAGAGTCCTGCAAGTCCGGGATTTTAAAGGACCTCTCGCTGTAGACGAGATCCTTCTCGATCGCGGATTTGCTACTACCGGACTCTCGAACCACCACGTAAAAGTCGCCGATGTCTTCTCGCGACGTCACGTACCATGTCGCCTTCCAACTCTTGTCCTCCTCGTTGCTAAAAAATATTCATCGTTACCCGAAAAACGTGTCACTAATTTTCATCTTACAGTCCCTGGAGATTTAATTTTCTGAAAATCTAATTTTTACCAAATTCCGAGAAGAATGTCGCCAGGAACTGTATTCGTCATGAACGAATTGAAATATTCGCGTTTGCATCGATTGCCAAGATGGTCGTTTCGTTTGTGAAATATACGTACTACTCGATGTTTCGGTACTTCACGTCTGGGGTGACGTCGAACTCGGGATACTCTCTGACGTCCCTCTGGCCACATCCCATCAAGTCCTCCGTGACCTCCGTCAGAATTTTGTGAGACAAGAAATGCGGACTCTCGCAGCTAACGTTCGACCATTCTTTCGGCACTTCCGTGTGAGTGTTCAGCCATCTTTTCAAGGGCCTCACGTAGCAATCACAGTGCAGTGGGTTTCCTAATAATAATTTACAATTCCTAACAATGGCTTCCAACTCCTAACTCCTGACAATAATGCTTCCTAATAGTAATAATAATTATTTCCTGGCAGAGTTAGAGAGCGATTACTACAATCACATTCTAATGCTTGATATCTTCGCGAAAGAGAATATCGGAAACTTCTGTTGCTTCCCTCTTACCGTGATATCGAAGCTTCGTGCCATTTTCTATGATGTTCATGAACGTGTCGCTGAACACTCCGATCGAGTTGGACTCCACGTCGAAAATCTTCAAATTTGGCAACGGCAGGATCTTGTTCAAGGGCAGGTGAGTCAGACGATTGTAACTCAGATACAGATTAGTCAGATTCGTCGGAGGATCGAAGATATCCGGTTCTGAGAGGTCGCTGATCTCATTGTATGAGAGGTCCAGTGTCTGTATCGCTGTCAGATTCCCAATCACATCTGGGATATTCGAAAAAAAAAAAAAAAAGAATGAAGAAAAAGAAAGGAAAAAGATATTAAATTAAATTAATACTAGTACCAATTTCTTCTACACATACTGGGAATCTGTATTGAACTATACTCACATTTTCGAATCTCGTTAATGTTATTGTGACTGACGTTCAAATACTGGAACTTCTTCGCTCCTACAGTGAACTCGTGAGTTAAGACCGGCATAGTATTGTACGAGAGATCGACTTCCTTCAATCGATAAGGGACCCAAGGATCGTTTGGAAACGTTTTCTTCGTGACGAAAGATATCTTGTTGTGACTGAGATTCAGCCTCTCCAGGGACAAACAATCGTCCAAAAGCCCGTGAGTTTTGTTATCCAATCTTTCTAGCTTATTGTGAGAGAGATCCAAAGATCTCAAAGAGACGAGAGTTTGAAATGCCTCGTTCGGTATATACGTGAGTTTGTTATTCGTCAGATTCAGAGTTAACAGCTGCAGCAACCCTTCGAAAGCCCGAGTGCTCACGTTCTGTATCTGATTGTTAGCTAGATTCAACTCGAACACTATCGGAAGACGTCCGAACGCGGATTTTCCCAACTCGGTCAGCTGATTGTCCTGTAATTATCGTTTGTACGAAGTTTCGCTTTGTTAAGCCAGAGGTGTATCATTGGATATTAATTCGATACAATCGAGACACGGTCAAACCTGCATATGAAGATACTGCAGGCTGGTCAGAGTGCTCAGTGCTTCCCAAGGTGGTCTCGTTATGTTGTTCGACTGTAGATTCAAAGCCCTCAAGGTAAGCAGGTTTTCGAAGCTGCCGTGTTTCAGATTATCGGCCAATCGATTGCCTGAGAGGTCCAGCGAAAGAAGAGCGTTCATCGTTGGCCATACGTCCGTCGTGGGGATTTCCTCCAACCAATTTTCCGAAAAATCCAAGTTACTCAGAGAAATCGGTAGCTGGAATATCTTCGTCAATCGATTGTTCTTCACCGTCAGGCTCCTACAAATCGACGCAATCGATTTAACTGTCATTCGAATAAATTTGAATTGAAAAACCGAGTTTTCCGACGAACTTCGAAACAAACGAATCTTGATAAAATATCATTGATCACCTGCAGCTTGGTAATCTGGTTAAACTGCCGCGTGCAACATCGTTCAACTGATTATAACTCATGTCCAACTCCAACAGCGTTGGCAACGGGCCAAACGTGGATGGCTTTATCTTCTCCAGAGAATTGTGCGACAGATTTAAGAAACGAAGGCTGAACAAAGTCTGAAATACGGCATTGTGGATCTCTGTCAGGTTGTTGTAGGACAGATCAATCGTGTGCAGCTCGTACAGTTTCGGGAACGTTTGACGAGGCACCGAGTGCATCAAATTGTGCGACACGTTGAGAACTTTCAGCCCGGTCATATTGTGCAGCGGCACCTGAAATCATTAATATAATCATTTCGCTCGGCAGTTCTCGAGGTAACATCTTCGAATCACTCGACCCCCGAAAGACACCTGATTAAGGGCGGTGAACTGATTGTAACTCAGTTGAAGCTCCGTAGCGTAAGTTACACTGTCGAACGAGTGTTTGGAAATATTCTCCAGCTTGTTGTGACTTAGATCCAATACGGTGATGTTGACGCAGTTCTCGAAAGCTCCTGGCTCTATGTTTGATATCTCGTTGTGAGACAAGTTGATCTTCGCCAGGTAGAGATCCTTGAACGATAACTTTTCTATCACCGTCACGAAGTTTTCGGACACGTCTATCAGCTGGAAAGAAAAACAAGTCCGATTTTGCTCTGAATTAATAGTGTTTTTTTTTTTTTTAAGTATTTGTACGAACAAAAAATAACGCACAAACCTCTGCAAACTGTAGTTGATTGAACATTTGAAAGTCGATTTTCTTGATGAAATTTCTAGCCAGATCGATGGTGCCTATTCTGGTAACAGGACCGAAGGTTCCTCTTCCAACGTCGTTTATCTGATTGTCACTTAAATACAGTCTTATCAAGAAGCGCATGCCACGGAAAGTATTCGAATCGAGTTTCCTGATTTTATTCTGGCTCAGATTGAGTACCTTCAGCAGAGAGTTTCTCGCGAATGTTCCTCTACAGATAAAGAATGAATTTTCATACATTTATGTATGATTCCTAAATTATACTCTATATCTCATATGTAGGGCAGAATCTTGAAGAATACCTCTTCAAGTCTGCAATGGCGTTGTGTGACAGATTGCACCAGCCCATCTTCGTCAAATCAGCCAAGTGGGAGCCATCGAGCTTGTTGATCTGATTGTGAGACAAATCCAAGTATTCCGTGTCCCTCAAACCTTTAAACTGATTCCTCTTCAGCTCCTTAATCTCGTTATCATGGAGATCCAATCTCTTCAGCTTTTTCAGAGGAGTCAACGCCTCCGCTGGCAAATAGGTCAGTGTACCTACGAAAATGAAAAACTGTACAACTATTAACTACTCAGGACAGATTTACTTTCGCGCAGAACAGCATTATAGTACCGTTACTCATCTGCAGCTTTTCAATTTTCCCGGCTGCAGCACTGTCAGCGAAGCTGTCCACCGGTAAAGTGGAAATCCGATGGCCAGCGATACTCAGGATACTGAGATTCCCCAATATTTGCAATGCTTGCCGCGGGAACTTCTCCAGAGAGCTGTTTATCACATAAAGCTCTTGCAGAGTTCTATTTACGCCGAGGAAACTGTGCTCCTCGATCAATCTCAGCGGAGTGTCGATGAATCGCAGCACTCGAACGTCCAGAGGATAGAGAGCGGGTCCGTAAAAACGTCCTTTGAACACAGTGAAATTCCAGTTTTAATGCCACTCGACGATCTCACTTTACGCGGATCGTTCTTCAAAAGTATACTTGTCCTTTTCTCTCTTCTTCTTTTTTTAATAGATTTAATTGTCGACTTGTAGGAAATGAATATCGATTTCAAAGAATATTTATACTTGGAATATTAATTTCTTCTTTTCTTTTTTTTTTTTTTTCTAATTTCAAAAGGTTCGTTCCTCGAGCAATTAACCGAATTGTCCGTAATAGTATACGTTTCTGAGTAAGAGGGAACTATAGCTCACCTATGTTGCATTTGTACAAAACGAGCTCCTCGATCGGCATGCCCTCGTTGCCCAGATTAGAGAAGGCCAAGCTCAAGCTGGCCAAATTCGTGTTCTCGCAACGGACGTACAATCCTCTGTCACTGCCGCGAACGCACGCGCAAGGATAGATGTACTTGGGCTCTTTCGGACATCTGAACCGTGGCCCGGGTGGAACGTAGCCACCCATGATCGCAGGCAACAGCAAAACCCATAGTAACGGCAGTAGTATCATCTGGAGAGCGAGACAACGCGGAGCGTTTCACGATTAAAGAAGTCCTATTCCCGTTGCTCTCGACGAGAACAATTGCTCGAAAATATCGTAGAACTTTTATTAGTCACCGATGTAATGTGTCTTGTAATCAGGCCTGTATTTCGCGCGAAACGTGAGAAAGTTTTCCCCGCGGTCGGTTGATCCTGCGTTAGATCACCGATAACGCGCTTATAGATCCACCACGCGCCAATTAAACTTTTCCACCGATTCGAAACGAGACCTTCCGATCGGCCGGCCGGCCTTTCCATTTTTCCTACCCATTTTCGAAACCATGACGCATCGTTTCTAGAAACTCGTTCATCGATTTCTGTTCTGTTTATAATTTTCATTTTTTTTTGTTTTTTTTTTTTTACGTTAGAGGAAATATTGGCGACGCGACGCACGTTCGCGAAAATTGATAAAGAATTTAAATCAAATTCAATCTTTCGATTAAGCACATTAGACGAGAATCAATTTATTATAAATTTACGATAATATCAATATATTACACATTCATTGAAATTCGAACAACGTACCACGAACAGAGGTAAGATTACTTTATCATCGTCAGAAAGTCAACCATGAAGAATTATTATTTGTCTCGAATAAGATTATTTGAATTTCCAGCGAGTACAGCATCCCCCTGATATTTCCTCCAAATGAATTTAAAATTTCATCGTTTGGCTGCTGCCAAATTGAAGATCCTCGGGACATGTGCATATGACTTGAGTATCTAAATGAGCGCGAATCACGCCGAGGCGCGACTAATTCGTTTGCGGATCGGCGATCACCGCTCTCGGAGAGGAGCCCACTAGAAACAAAGAAGTCATAAAGAGACGAATGACCTCGTTGCTACTACCTCCTTGGCATACCGTCTCTACGAGGAATTGTGTGCAACCACTGTTATCCGTGTATCTATTTAAACAATGTTTTCTACCTGACAATTCCGTCCATGAAGTTGCCGCGATCGAAAGATAAATTGAAATCTGTTCGCGGCAGATAATCACGTTAATTAAGTTTTTACCAGTTCCCCGAGCAGAAACCTGTAATTTCATCTTCTACGATCGTGCGCAAATCCAACGATACGCAACTAGGACACGACGGATTATTGACGATCTCGGAGGTGGTGTGGTGATCGCCGCCGAGTTCCCTCGCTGAAAGTGAAATGGCGCTTCGCCATCCGCGGCTGAATGCAAATACTTTCCATCGAATCGGTGAAGATCGACGAGGAAGCAGACGCGCGTCTGTCGAGCGAAACGATTCTCGAATATTTGAATTGCTTGACTACTCGGAAAATTCGTAACAACGATTAAGAAGAATTTAAGTAGAATGAGACTTTGGCTTTATAACTACATATATTTTTTTTTTTTGTAAACTTTAAGTTCAATCTCAACTATATATATATATATAGATAAATTTAAGTAGAATTAGACTTTAGATAATTTTTTTTTAAACTGTAGGTTCAATCACAACTATATAAAAAATGGACTGTTCGACTATTCGATAATCCTTTGATAATCCTTTGAAAAATATGTTCGACTACTCGAGTGTGATAATCCTTTGAAAAATATGATCTAAAAATCGGGCGTTCGATTAACTGTTAGACGATGGGCTAGCATTTATCTTAGAGAGGAATCGCGAGAGGAGAGCGTGGGCCAGCAAGATGAGTTCGAGTATTTTTATCTCAATCGATGCGTTAACGATGGCCTCGATCGCAAACGTTTAAGGGGGTCAATGAAGAACAGGAGAGAATTCTACGGTGTAAAAGATTCCACTAGCTAACAGCCTGAAATTTTATAATTAACACGCGTTGATTGACACGCGAAATTGCCTGTGAGACGGAGTATTTAATTTTCAGGAAACATCACGGTTAAAAATAAATATGCGAAAAACTTGGTAGTTTTTTTCTGTGTTATTTGAAATTCTTTTGTCGATGACGTTCGTCTTGTGTTGCGATCTGAAACGAAATTTGGGAAGTGGAAACCGGTCGGTGACCGATGAGGCGACAGTCGCACCGTGTTCATTTGATTGCCAATTTCATTACTAGCTACTAGTAGTTGGAAAGGATGGACGCTCGCGAGGCCCACTGACCTGAGAAACGAACAACCACGCTTTATTACGGTTCCAGTAATCTAGTAATTCAGCGAGCGAGAAGGTAAAAAGAAAAGCGCGGTGATCCAGTTTCGCCGCGGTCGTTTATGCAACGTTCCGAACATAATACGAGTGTTTCACGACACAGCCGGCCGTAAAAACACGACGTGCTGGAAAACGAGCGTTTTCTACAAAGCGGACGTTTTCAACTCGGACGTTTTTCGCGTTATTGCGCAATTCCAAAGCCGA